ACATCATGACTAAATATGAGCAGAATACACACTTCAAGGTACAAATAAATATGAAACACATTATTGGGGACAGAAAGTCAAAACTCTGCTTTATCTATTTTCAATGCTCAGTAAAGCTACTCGAAAATAAAATTCAATACATTCAACATACGCTTGTTGCTTTGATTGTATTGACTGAGCCTTATGTCTTCATCCATGGACGCAAATCTGTGAACGCCAAATCTTTGCTTTCAAGATGCTCAACCTATTGTCTCACCTGATGAATTTCCTTCAGCAGAGATGCCTTTTCCCTTAACTACCGGGTTGACAAGAGCCGGATTAGGACACACGTCATTGTAATGGTCAATTAGGACATCGTCTTGGTTCGGTGTGTCTGCGCTCCTGTCTGTTTCTTCCTCGTGGGGTCTTGTTTTTTTTTTTTTCCCTCCCAAACACTTGGTGCCTTTTCGGAAAGTCAAATCTATCATCCATGATCTGAACCGCTTTATTCTCACGAGGGTCACGGGTGTGTTGGAGCTCATCCCAGTTGATTTCGGGCGGTAGGGGGAGGACACCCTGAACTGGTTGCCAGCCAATCGCAGGGCACACACATAGAAAACTATTCACACTCACAAAGACACCTCAGGGCAATATAGAGTGATCCATTATACGACATGTTTTTGGAATGTGGGAGGAAACCGGAATACCCAGAATACCCACGTAGGCACGCGGGAGAACATGCAAGCTCCACACTGGAAAGCCAGGGCCCAGTATCGAACCCTGTGTCATGGTTCTGTTCTGTTTTTTTCCAGCAAGTGGCATCGGAGGGCTTCACCAGATGCACCTGTTTCTTATTTTGTCATCAGCTCTTTTCTGTTTACAAGGATTGCCACACCGACCCCTCGTGGTTGCTTGACTGTCATGGGTTTTTGTTTGTTTGTTACTTTGGTTTATTGGGGTTTTCAGGACTTGTTTTTGTTACAATACAAGACAATACATCCTGATTTATATAGTGCTTTCAGAACAGCCCTTTACAAAACGGTTAACATAAATAAAGTCATAAACACAACACATAACATAAAAACACGGACAGTCGTGCAATCCTGAACCACTTTTCCCTAATACCCTTTGTTGTTTGAAGCAGTTTTAGATGAAAGAGGAGAGAATCAAAGTGTCCTTTCATCAGTGGATCAGAGACGTCATGCTCAAAATGCGCACACGTCGGCTACAAGCTAAGTTTGAAAGTAAACAAGAAGCTATAGCATCCATTGACAAAAAAAGACATTGGTTCACTTCTCCTTTCCCACGTAAATCCGTTTCAATTCCAAGCGGCGACTCTCAGTTCCAAATATGGGTCCGCGCTGCGCGCCGATGCTCCTCTCCTCATCATCAGGTCCACAAGCCATCTGTCCAGCCGCACCAACGCAGACTGTTCAACAGCGCCGACATCTCCACTGAACAAAACAGGTCTGTAAAAAATGCTGCCCATCGCAGAACAGGTTGAATGTCAGGCTTCTGCAGAGCTTGCTGATGATCTGATCATTTGAATCAGGTGTGCTGCAACAGGGAGACTTGGAAAACATGCAGGACAGCGGCCCTCCAGGACCTGAGTTTGAGACCCCTGATTTAGAGCGTTCAATCAGCCTGCCATGCATGTTTTTGGAATGTTTTCGGAAAACCTACGCAGGCCCGTGGAGAACATGCAAACTCCACACAGGGAGGCCACGAGCTGGAATTGAACCGGATACCTCTGCACTGTGAGGTCGACGCGCTAACCACTGGACCACGGAGTCCTCCTGATATACCTATAATAAAGATAATGTCTTTTTCGTACCATTTCTGAACACGGTTTTCTTTTTAGATGTAATTACTCTGTTGTTCCATAGGGTGAAGCTATGCAGTGCAAAAGTGCGGGTAAATACAACTTCAAAAATTTAATATCTGTTTATGATATTCAGATCATCTAATTTGTAACTTAGATATTTCAAAATCACATAAAAAAACCTCTAAAACCACGACTTGTTTAAAAAAATATCTTGGGGGATAAAGAATCTGCTTTGTCTCAAAACGCTATTGTCTAACAAATTCAAAAAACTTCAAGCATACATTCAAAGTCTATTGTTTTCAAACCTTGTTTATTATATCTTTTACAAGTTGCTATTTTTTTATTTACTAGTTTTTGTTGCACCAAATGAATTGGTATATTATCGTATTTGTGTTTTTGATATTCTGGGGAGTGATATAGAGTGAATAACTTGGGTGTACTAGTTCAGAGATACCTTCTGAATTTGATACAAATTTCGGCCAAATATAGTTTGATCCCTGGTCAACCAGTGATTTTAACTTTTATTCATTTCCTCAGTTTTTTTCCTTCGTAATTTTTGGTTCCTTTGTTTTGGCATCTCTACTAATACTTATGCCCAAATAAAAAATCTTAGTCTTCACGGGAATAAAGAATAATGTTTTCAGCCCTGATTGAAATAAATTCACATTTTGAGCAGACCTCAAGTATTCTGGGGAATTTGTTCCACAGGTGAGCACCACAAAAGGTGTGGATGTGAGAAAATTCTCCTATTTCCTACATAAAGTCATTAATCATTAGAATCATCCAAACACTTTAACTGAAATTGATGAAAACACTCATCAACATTTAATAGAGTTCACTATTTTAATGGTTTCCTTTCGAAGTGTCTTCATTTTAGGGTCTTCCTTAATTCCAAAACTTGAACGACTGAATATTTGTTTTCTTCCTTGTGAAGTCTGTATTCTGCTCATATTTCGTCATGCTGTATTACTTTCCCATGCCCGCAGTGTAGCTTGGCGTCCTTGTAACAATCATCACCTAGAATTGGAATACTCCCTACTGAAGACGCACAAACTTTGGAATGGATCGGTTGAGGAGTAACGAAAGTTATATCACAATTTGTGTCTCGGTACCGCCCTTCTGATGGTATAAAAATGATGTGAATCTCTTCCTGCTTCGCACTCGTGACGCGCAGCCATTGTCTGTAATTCGTGGGTGCCCGGAATATTCTGTTATTAAAAGCTTCGAAGGAACTGTTCATCAACTCCAGCCTTTATTTGGATTACCAACATTCTCCTCGTCCGAAATTCAACGAACACGCGGGGGAGAGGAGGCCACTCTTCCCAACACTTGTTAGCTTGTCTAAACTCATAAACACACAGCCTGAACACCGAATCGAACGTACTGTATAATGTTCCATGCTTAAATACTAGCTGGTCTAATGTCGGAAAATGGTGGAAGACATCCACGTGGCTGAGAGACATGCAAAGCCGGAAAAGCACTATTCAATCTTTTATTTGAAAAAAAAAAAAAAACAGGTAAAAAAAGCAAAGATACAATAGCAAAAGTAGATCTGAACAACAAAGTCATACATAAAGTGTAAAATCTGTGCTGGTAGAGTTTTTGTTGTGTGTTCGCAGTCTGAAAGAAATTTTAGTTTGAAAATCAAAACCTCTGTCAAAATGCTCATCGGAAAAGTAGGCCAAGCTTGCACAACTTCTTTAAAAAGGGGAACATGCCAAATTATGATACAAAGAGTAGCCCACAACTTCCAAGAATAACAGTGTCACGATGCGAGGTGGACCCCAAAAAAGCAGGCAGGAGGGAGGAGGAGGGTGTACTTGAAAGATTGTATTAAAACTCAGAAAACTAAATCCAAAACAAACAAAGTCCAAAGTATCAAACAAAACACATGACTGAAGATAAAACATAACACTGACCAAAACATGACTGAAACAAACATGACAGCAAACAAACATGACAGTAGCACAAAGCAACAATGACCCGACAATGATTGCTCGGGCTGGGAGTCCTTTTAAAGCCACTAATTACCTAATGACCAACAGGTGTGCAGCTGCAGGGGAGCCCTACAGTGCCACCTGTTGGTCCCAAACCGAATCATGACAAACAGTTGTATTTAAGAGACATTAGCGTCCGTCCTATTTAGTTCATTTAATGCCAAAATGAAAAACTGAATTTGCAAAAACCCTATAATTTAGTGCCAAAACATAAAAATACGTTTTGGGTGTTTTTATTTTAAAAAATATATAAATAAAGGTCTTCGGGCAGTTCCTCAGTCAGTATCAAGGCTTTGGGAATTATTTCAGTGAGATACATCATCACTAGATGGCAGGAGTTGCTTTGATCAGATCTTGTGTGTGTGTGTGTGTGTGTGTGTGTGTGTGCGCGCGCGTGGAATGTGTGTGCGCGCGTGCATGCGTGCGTGCGTGCGCGTGTGCGTGTGTATGTGTGTGTGTGTGTGTGTATAAGAGGTATCTTGATGTGAGA